CTCCGATTATAGCTCGAAGTCCATACATAATATGTCATGTATGATATGAACTTTGAATGCACAAAGTGTCCATTTGCCAAAGATTCCTCCTTATCTTCTCATAACAAACTCACGTGCTCACATTATTGGATATGCCTCACGTTGCACTCCTGTAGGAAAGTTTTCAGCAATTTTATTTTTTCTTTTCCTTGTTTTTAAACACAAATATTCACTGTGCACTCTTAATTCTTTTTGTCTTCATGCATATTTCACATAGGCACAATAGGCCCACACGTTTTCTATCTCTAAAAAACACTCACATATAAACACTCACCCATGACACACTTGACAGATACACGGACAGAGGCAAAAAAGAAAATCCCTTCCTTCTTAGTTTTAGCCATAGCTCACCCCCATTTTCCTCCATGGAAGCCCCCCAAAACCTTCTCCAAAAGCACAATTAAAACACCTTCAAAACAGTTCCGTTTAGCATAAAAAAAAATCAACCAAAACTCCAACTGAAAACCAGTCCAAAATCACCTGAAATCCAGCCCTAAAACACTTCAAATCAGCTCCAAAATCTCATCCAAAACCAACCAAAAACGCAGCAGTCTTTCCCCGGGGAAATTTCACTCATCCCCGTCATTTTAACTTCCAAAAACCAGCCGAGAAAAGCAGCGAAAATCAGCTGCAAACCAGTCCAAAGAAGCTCCAAATTTAGCTGAAAAATAGCTCGAAAACAGCCCTCTTTCCTCACAAAACAATAATATTTTGGTCGGGTTCAAGTCGAATTTTCCGACTAGCTTTTCCCGGCGAGTTTCGAGGTTCCGACGTGGTCTTTTGTTAGCGGGTCTGCTCGTTGTTAGCTTCTTCAGCATTCCTTTCTTTGTATACTTTGAAAGCTAATGAGAGGTCCGTTTTCTTTCACATATTTTTAGCTATTTAGTACTTAGATTTCGTTGATATATGAATACCTTTTTAGATCTAGTTATTTGCTTCATGTTTGTTGATTCGATACTTTGAGGCATGATTTGAATTAATTATATGAATTTTTGAATCATGTTTCAATTTGATTAAGTGCATTGGAGTTATAAGAATAATCTGTCATAGTTTGGTTTTCTAACAATTGGTTATGGGTCGAAGTTAACTCATTAAATTGTTGGGCCATATGGTTTAAATGTCACACAAACAAGGTTGGGCCGTAGGGTGTTGAGTTACGTTGCTTCGAATTTGTCCGCTGGCTGTGGCGTGATCCTGAAGCGGAGATGAGATTTTGGCCCAATGAGTTTAGTTTGCCGGCCCAATAATTCTACTATTTTCACAATAGATAAATGCCTCGTAACTTCAAAACCACAAATACTTTAATAGTTCATCTCGATAATAATTTATAGTGACCAATTAGTATACTTCATCCACAAATGACTTCCATAGACTTTTGGCCTCACAATAATCTCAAAGTTTAGGAAGAACAATAAACATTGTAGTTTGCTTTAGGCGTGTAATTAAATCATCACGGCTATGGGTACGATTTTCATGGCATAGTCGTGATACCTAATCCCCAATTCGGGTGCGCATTTCATGTGACCCGACCATAACTTCAAATAATAATAAAAATGAACATGTTGTAAATCGCGGGTGCGTTTCACGTGGCGCGATTTGCAATATGTACCAAAACGACAAGTGTACGACATTGTAACTTGTTCCAGCAATAATTCCATAAGCATTAAAAGGCGATTAAATTAATTGAAAGCGGTTAGAAGTTAAAAATGCACAATAGGTTTCAAATATGTATTAAATTAGACAATTAGGCCAATTATTACAGTTGAGCCGCCGTGCTAAAACCACGGAACTCGGGAGTGCCTCACACCTTCTCCCGGGTTAACAGAATTCCTTACTCGATCTTCTGTGTTCGTAGACCATAAATAGAGTCAATTTCCTCGATTTGGGATTTAAAATACACCGGTGACTTGGGATACCATAAATTATTACAAGTGGCGACTCTGAATCAATAAATAATCCCATTTAGATTAATGTCACTTAAAATTAAAAAACTCCCATATCCCCTCGGGAAAAAGGAGGTGTGACACACCTTAGCCAAACTTAACGGAAGATGGGTATATTTGAACCAATAGTATAACGACAGGGGTATATTTGGACTCAAAGTATAACGAGGGGTATATTTAAACCTTTTCTCATAGTACATGGGTATATTTGGACCTTTTCCGTATGTAAATTAGATAGGGAGGGACCAATTCCTATTCGTATTCAAATTCACTATGTAAGACGGTAAGATTCACTCTCAAAAGGCATCTATCTATATATATTTATATATATATATATATATCAAGTAGGGACATGAAGGAGTGATTTGGCACCTCTCTAAAGCCTAGTATGTTATTTATCTTTTTTGTCATTTTTTTTGCTTTTTTCCCTAAATGTTTCCTTTAAAAACTTAATACTCCTGTGAAAGTCCAAAAGTCACGACTAATTAAAACCAACGTTTCAGCCGCTCCCCTCAATATGGATAACCGAAAAGCCTAATTACTTCTATGCAACGCTTCATAATTCACGAGGAAATCCACGGGGTATGAAATTTCAAGTTTGATTGTGTCAATTGTCGGAGCAAATCTTAACAGTGTAACGAACAATGAGTCCAAGCAGATATTCCGGTGACGAAGCTTCTCACCTTCTCCTTTTCATCTTATTTTCGTATTAACTTTTGAGATTAATTAGGGTTCTTTAGCCAATGTTGCATATTGGTTGAAAGTCGTGCACGATAGTTTGCTTTTTATTACATCTTGTGTTGCTAAAGTTTGCAGATATTTTAAATTAATTATTAGAAGTAGAGTTTCCTACAAAATTATCATGGATGCTCGTAGAAACCTTAGGATTTTTTTCCATGGGTTTTAATTGTTGACTATAAAATTTTTGTGTATGATAAATAAGGGGAGTTAGGTTATTCACAAATTCTTTAATTGTATATGGATTTTCATTAAAATCTGTGAATACGTTCATTTTTACTATATGGTTCTCCAATTGATGTTTGGATAATAATGAATTTTTTTCACAATTTTCTGTATATTCTGCTCGATATCTGCTTCTTTTTTATGTTTTTGGGTAACTCTATCTGCTTATTGTTTGAGAACAACTAAAATCGTTGTTGTAGATTTTTTCTGATGCAGAAGAAAATACAAAATGAGGAGATGCAAAGAAATGGGACTGAATGATACAATCACTCCCTTCCGTTAAATTTAACATTCAGGTATTCTTTTTGAAGCTTTTACCCCCTCATCTTGAGTAACTACTCGATTACTTCCCCTATTCCATACAACCATGTTCCTTTTTCCATTAAATTCCACCGCTTCATTGATTTATTTTCTTATTTTTATTACTGTAGGTCTAACATAAATATAATAGATGGCAAAGGAATTCTTGAAGAGCTCCAAAGGTCACAAGCATACTCACAATAACTCGCCAGTGCCAAAAATTCAAAGGAAGAGCGTTGACGAGTGAGTTTCGGTTCTCATAACGGTTAAAATAATGTCAAGAATTAGGTTCATTTCTATATTAGTCCGAAGGATTAAAATACCCCAAGAATAATTTAGGCACAAGCAAAAAATTCAACAAAGATTATATAGAAGAAATTTATTAAACTAGGGAGAGAACGTGGTAAGAGACTTTTTCACAACTCATAAACTCTTGAATCTCTCTACAAGAAAAATACCCCTATTTATAATACTATAAAACCAAAAACCTATTCCAACATAAAATTGGTAAACAAAACCTAACTAGACATGAATTAAACAAACTACCAAATATCAAATCCTAAACAACTTAGGAATACTAATTAATCTTGATTTAGTTTCCAACAACCTCCCTTAAATCAAGAGCTTCAAATTTGATCATGCCCAACATCTTCTTCAACTTGATAAATAACTCCAATTTTAGTGGCTTTGTGAAAACATCAGCAACTTGCTCTCCGGTCTTGCAATACTCAATAACCATCTCCTTGTCTTGAACCAAGTCATGAATAAAGTAAAATTTGATATCAATGTGTTTGCTACGCCCATGAAAAACTGGATTCTTTGTTAACTCAATTGCAGATTTGCTATCACAAAAAATTATTGTAGGATTGTCTTGCTTGTGTTGAAGAAATCCAAGCATTCTTCTTAACCACAATGCTTGTGTAGCACTACTTATTGCAGCCATGTATTCTGCTTCAGCTATTGATAAAGCAACAACTTGTTGCTTTTTGGAAGACCAAGAAAATACACCAGAACCCAAATAAAATGCATAGCCAGAAGTACTTTTTCTTTGTATTGTATCACCAGCCCAATCACTGTCTGTAAATCCCACAAGACTACCATCATTAGTTTTTGAATAAAATATACCATCAGTCTGCCTACCTTGAATATATCTCAAAATTCTCTTTGCTGCTTGCAAGTGGGATTGTCGTGGAGTCTCCATAAATCTGCTAATTAATCCAACTCCATAAGTAATATCAGGCCTTGTAGAAGTCAAGTACCTTAGACTCCCTACCAATTTTCTAAAATATGTAGCATCAACAAAGTCACCAGTCCCATCTCTAACCAACTTCAATTTTTCTTCAACAGGGGTCAAAATTGGTTTGGCTTTATCCATATTAAATCTCTTTAGAATATCACCGGTATCACGACCCAAAATCCACTAAAGGTCGCGATGGCGCCTAACACCACTGTCAGGCAAGCCAACAGTGGATGATTAACTAAATTACTCATTTTAGTATTTTTGAAATCAGAATTTCATCAATTAAGTAGTAAGAAATAGAATTTTACATGGTAACTGATAATATGTTCACGACTACAACAATGAACCACCCATAAGCACCCCCAAAATCCGGTGTCACAAGTACATGAGAATCAACTAGGAAATATAATATAATTCAACATCTGTCTGGAATACCAATTAGACAGGAGAGTATAGATAACTCTGATAAAGACTCTACAGGCTGCGAATCGTAACATAAAATGTAGCTCATGGTAAGTCCCCGCAACATCCGCGTCTCTACGCCCAAAAGACCGTCAGACATATATGTACCTGCACAAAAATATAGAGCAAGTGTAGCATGAGTACATAAATCAATGCGTACCCAGTAAGTATCTAGCCTAACCCCAGAGAAGTAGTGACGAGAGGTCGACATCGATGCTTACTAGTGGTCCAATAAGGCAAATACAGTAAGAAGTAAAACAAATATGGGGCAANCCGAGGCGTACAGCCCGATCCCATCATAATCTGGTATATAACCATAGATACATCTATTATATATAATGTCGAGGCGAACGGCCTATTCCCATGAGAGTGTGGTACATAATCCTGCCGAGGTGACCGACCTGATCCCATAAAGTGTTTGCACTGCCGAGGGTCGAACGACACGAACCATAGATGTATCTATCTTGCCGAGGCGAACGGCCCGATCCCATTAGAATAAGAAAGCTTTGATGGTATACTCTAATACTCATAATAAATTAATTTATAACAATCCCCAACTCCGTTCGAAAAGTCAATAAAGTCGACCCTTGGGCCCACGTGGCCGGATTTCAAATATTTTTTAAAATAAATATTACCCATAACTCATATGGTCTATATCCAGAAAATCATCCAATTTCATCCATAAATGACCCTCAAATCAAGGATTTACCATTTCTCAACTTTGTGGCTCAAAATTCCAATTTCTACAATTCAAATACGGATAAAAATAATAACCAATGGAAATAATGATGTAGAAACATCAAAATAAAGGTCAGATATTTACCCCCTTGTTGATACGAGAACAACGCCGCGAAAATCACCTCAAACGAAGCTCTAGAACTCAAGATATGCCCAAAATACCAAAATAACACGGTCTGATTTTTATATACTCAGGGATTTTCACTTTTCCGACAAAACATCCGCACCTGCGCATTTTCAGCTGTAATTTCCGCTTTTGCGGATTAATTTTCGCACATGCGGGGTCGCAGATGTGGACCCAACTTCGCATCTGCGAAGCACCGGCACCAGCTCATTCTCTGACACTAAAATGAGCATAACTTCCTCATACGATGTCCAAATTCGACGATTCATTTTGCTATGGCTCCGTAATTACGATACGGATCTAATACTTCAATCAAAACAGAAATTGGATCTCATTTGATTAATGTGGTACCATTTATGCTTGAAGAAACGAAGTCGAAACATCAACAACGAGCGCAACACAACCCAAACCTATTCGAAACTCATCCGAGCCTCTCGGGACCACGTCCGAACATACCAATAAGTCCCAAAATATAATGTGGACCTGCTCGAGGCCTCAAATCACATCAAACAATATCAAAATTACGAATCGCACCTCAAATCGAACTTAATGAACTTATGAACTTTCAACTTCTATAACTCGCGCCGAAACATATCAAATCAATCCGGAACAACTTCAAATATTGCACACAAGTCCCAAATGACATCACAGACCTATTTCAACTTTCAGAATCGAGATCCGACCCCGATATAAAAAAGTCCACTCCCGGTCAAACTTTCCATAAACCTTCAAATTTTTAACTTTTGCCAAATGACCTCGAAATGACCTACAGACCTCCAAATCCATATCCGGACGCGCTCCTAAGATCAGAATCACCATATGGAGCTATTCCCAGGTTCGGAATTCCAAATGGACATTGATAACATTAAAATACACTTCAACCCAAATTTATAAAAATTCTTCCAAAATGCCAACTTCCCACAATAAGCGCCTTAATGCTCCTGGGTCATCCAAAACCCGATCCGGATATACGCCCAAGTCCACAATCATCATACGAACCTATTAGAACCTTCAAATCCTGATTCCAAGGTCGTTTACTCAAAAATCCAACCTTAGTCAATTCTTCCAACTTAAGGCTTCCAAAATGAGGATTTTCTTTCCAAATCAACTCCGAACTTTTCGAAATTAAATTCCGACCACACGCAACTCATAATAACTAAAGTGAAGCTTCTTAAGGACTCAAACCACTGAATGACGTGCTAGGGCTCAAAACGACCGGTCGGGTCGTTACAACCGACATATTTTTCTGAGAGATAAATATTCTATTATCTAATTGAGATACCTCAATGCCAAGAAAATAAGACATTAAACCCAAATCAGTCATCTCAAACTGGCTAATCATTGCCTCTCTAAACTCAAAAATTAATTTAGGATTATTGCCAGTAAAAATTAAATCATCCACATATAAGCACACAATGAGAATATCTTCGTCGGGCTTAAATTTGATATATAAAGTATGCTCATATGGACATCTTTGAAATCCATGTCCAATAAAATAAGAATCAATACGAGTGTACCAAGCTCTAGGTGCTTGTTTCAATCCATATAATGCCTTTATCAGCCTATAAACTTTATTTTCTTGACCCCTTTTGACATAACCAGCAGGCTGGTCAACATACACTTCTTCTTCAAGTACACCATTTAAGAAAGAAGATTTCACATCCATTTGAAATTTTTTCAGCAATTATTGGCAACAAGAAAAATTTTCATACGAATAGTATCAAGTCTAGCAACAGATGCAAATACTTTAAAGTAATCAATACCTGCCTTCTGCTTGTATCCTTTAACAACTAATCTTGCCTTAAAGCGATCCACTTCTCTAGTTGGTTTGAACTTGGTCTTGTATACCCACTTGACTCCAATTGGTCTTTTTGAGAGTAGTAACGTAGTCAATTCCCATGTATTATTTTTCTCAATAGCATGAATTTCTTCATTCATTGCATGAACCTATCAATCATCTTTAACAACTTTCTCAAAAGTAGCTGGATCATAATCTGCAAATAAGGCAAAATTTACAATATCTTCATCGGATAAATCATTATCATCGCCAACAACATAATCTTGCAAACGAGATGGTAATTGGTGTTGTCTTTGCGGGTGACTGGACATCTCTGCTTGAACAGGATCTACCGCACGTTCCTCTTGATGTCTGTTAGAACTTCCTTCCTCTATGATTGGAATTATTGGTTGAGACCTAGATGGTTCAGAATCCTTCTTTGACCAATGCCAAGAACTCTGCTCATCAAAAGTAACATCTCTGCTAATAATCACTTTTTCTGTATCTGGATTAAACAACTTGTAACCCTTTGTCTCATGACTATAACCAATAAAAATATACTTTTCAGCTTTATCATCCAATTTCTTTCTTAAAGCATCAGGAACATGAGCATAAACAAGAAAACCAAATGCTTTTAGATAAGAAATATTTGGTTTCTTACCTGTCCAGATCTCTTGTGGAGTTTTTTCAAGATTAGACCGTGTAAGACACCTATTTAATACATAAATTGCACAGGAAACAACATTTTCCCAAAGACCTTTTGGAATATTTTTGGAATGCATCATAAATCTCACCATGTCCATCACTGTTCTATTTTTTCTCTCAGCCACACCATTTTGCTGAGGTGTATATCTAGATGTCAATTGATGCTTAATACCATACTTCTTCAAATAATCATCACA